CCCAAAGTTATCGTCATGCTCAGGTTTGGAGTTTGGGACGTTACGACCGCCTTTTCGTTACTCATCGGATCTACCCGGTGTACCCAGACAACACAGACAACGGGTGGTTGTGTCTTCATCCACGTCCATCTCTCAATCCAGGTTCCTTCACTCATCCTGTGCCCCCTCCCAACGTTTGGTTAAAAAGGGGGGTGGGTGTCCGGGAGCAAAATAAAGGTTCAGCCCTGAGGTCGTGGCAACCTCTCTAAAGCACAAGCTGTACTCGTGTCGGCCTCGGGTCGATTGGGGCGGCGGGTGCCTTATCAGAGGCACACGAGGGTTAGGGTACCAGATCCGTCGTGCATAGACGGGGGAGGGTGCATAACCATCTGCACTGGGGTAACAGAAATGTTCCAAAATTCAGCCCCTGTTACACTGGGAATGGATTCGTGGTGTTTCGTGGTGACGCCCCTGGCGGGAACTTAGAGAAGAGGCTGTCTTCTATCTGTGACCTTCTCACGAAACTTACGTATGACAACCGTTATACACCCGGCCTCACGGGAGACGGCGGATCGGACCGAATCGTATAGCGTTGAGGACGCTCTGACTACGCTGACGGAGTCCCTCGAATGCGTGAGTACTGGCGGATGAAAATGGGTAGTGAATCGGTTGCTCCTATTTGAGTATGCTTTGCACGCAGGTGTAGGCTGAGCTCGATTGGCGGCTTTTACAGTAGGAAGTCTCCTCTAGGGGGTGGTTAGCAATTCCACTTTAAACGAAACCGCGGCCGGAGCGGATCTGGTCGTTTCTATGCTGGTGAAGCCTCAATACTCTGGGATATAGAGTGGCCTTCTCTATCTAGGGAGTGCGCGGGAGACCAGGCTGATGTACTTCGGCCAAGGTAGCCCTTTGCGCGCGGCATACGGTTCGATGCTTAATGCGGACCCGAACACTCAGAATGGGCAAGCGGGGAGCGAGGTTGTCTTGGCCCCTCGGGGCTGAGCGGCCTCTACACCAATGCTGCACCAGTAACACCATTCTGTCGTATGCGGAGGTGCGTCAGTTCTCATCTTGAGAATCAAAACGACCATAGGCCGAATCGGCTAGGTGCGAACGTTAAAGATCCTCATTGTCCTTTTAAGGACGACCGAGTATACGGAAAGCATGTACCCAGAAACAACCACCGTTTTGCTGAGTCGCTCCAGTCCACGGTATTTCTCAAGCATTTTTAGGGATGGGAGTATTGTCGAAGATTGTATGAGAGGTGGTGTTTCGGAAGGTCAGTGTTACAACAGTGCTTTTCCTTTCATTCATTTTTATTGACCAACGCACAATTCGTTCTTTTTCATGACATGTGCCTGCCTGGAGCTTGAGGATCGAGCCATTATTTACTTTACTAGCTTGTTATTAATATTATTATTTTCCTTAAATTTACGTCATCATTCGATTGAATAATCATTAAAATAACTAAACGCCAATAAAAAACTTAATAAACTTAGAGGAATTACTGATAATAATTTCGCTGTAAGTCATGAAAAAAATATCACTTTAGCACAGCCTTTTAATAATTATCGCTTGTTGTATTTAAATAAATGAAAATGGATTACTTTAATTAACTGTAATATACTTTTACATCAAATTAGAGTCGAGTCTGGTCCCAGGATGCCAAATCCTAGGCCTAATGGAAGTTGAGGCTAACACGCCTTTCCTATGGGACCTTAGGAAGACCGTCGGGTTTGCGCAGTTAGCGACCCTCGTGTAATTACTTGGGGCTTTGCGCTCAACAAGTTAGACCCTAAGTTCCTTGACCGCACGGGGTCCGTCCGGCGACTTAATGTATATCACCGTTCGGGGATTCGTTAGCACCGGCTTTTAATGGACGCCGTGTAACGTTCGTCAATACTAGGCAAGTTTACAATGACAGCCGGCCGACTCAGTTGAAAGGATGGTGGTGGGGTTAAATTGGCCGGCCAAACTTTTGGACATGGATATAAAAATTTGATTTAAGTTGTTAATGAATATTATAATGATTATATGACTTGTGTATATCGTTACAAAAAGGATATATCAATTCTACACACTATAATCGAAAGATCATCCTTGATCACTTTCTCTCTAAATCCAATTTTTAAATTCAAAATATTGGGTTGTCCGGAAAATAATGCAGGATTTTAAGTTTTCATTAAAAAAAATCTANGTATGGGAAATTATTTTGATTAAAGAACATTGCTTTAAAGTAACTAGTTTCTTTTTTTTTGTTTAATACCAAAATCCTGCATTATTTTCCGGACAACCCAATACTTGAAATAATATGATTTTAAATACATATTTTGTGAATATTCATATTTGGTAACTTTTTACTTATTAATTGGTTAAAAATTTGTTTTTGTTACTATTAGATTTATAAGGTTTTTGCACTTTACAACAAGGTTTTTGCACTATTTATCACAGTTTTTTTTTTCTTTCGCAGTTATGAAAAACGTTTCAAGCCAGACCCTGGCCCCATTTCAGGCTGAGACTTATCTTCTTTAACAATTAATGTTTCAATGTCGTGATGAAGGCTAACTATTCGCATTTCTCCAAAGTTAAATGAAAAACGTCTGGTCAATCTTATCACGGATCGTTTTTGAATAAATAATCTTAAAGGTGATGAGACATAAGAATTGGAAAGCAAACAGGGATAGTTTAAATTACTTGTATTTAAAACTGTGTATACCTGTTCATATATTATACGGATATATTTATTATTGATCCATTGCCTAGTGTTTTTCGAGTGTCTATTAGTGATATTGTTAGTTATGTGTTGTTGGTGAGCTTTCTTGGTTCTTATCTAAGATAATAATTTCTAAACTGCACCACTTCTTTGTAAAAAAGCAGAACTACGTTTTGTAAGTTTTTTGTGTGAATTAATTAGTGTGGATGTTGAGCGGTTAGCTTTGAGCCCCTTGTAAAACCTTTCGCTTCAAGAAATTAAGTCCTCTTTTATTTTTGTGACGAATTTTCTTCTGTTAAGCAGGACGATAGCATTGTTTAAAAATGCCTCCTTTTGTATAAATTTTAGGGGCTGTTTTCATTGCACCTGTGACGCGTATATTTACCAAACTTTGCTCACTGCCTGATGTTTGGGTAGCTTGTTTTTGTACAGATTTCCACCACATTAATGGACTGTTAAATAATATAGTTCTTATTACTGCCATTTTTTATTTTAGACTCAAAAGTAAAGTTTTTCTTTTGGCCATTAATCATCAATGATAATTTACTTTGGGTAATGAAGTGTTTGGAGGCAACTCTTGTACTTGTAAACTCATTATCTCACTGCAGAACTGCTTTGTAGAAAGACAGCATTATTAGAAATGATGAATGATAGAGAGAGTGCGGTGTTCAATATTTTTCAAAAAAATATAGGTTCTACTCACCGTAAGTTTTTTTTTCCAACTGTGCGGATTTCGAGCCCTTGGCTCATCATCAGGTTGAAGGATTTCTACAACCAGGTCTCTCCACATGAATTGCAAAAGTGAACCCTTTAACATACGGTCCTTAGGATCTCAAAGAATTCCTCCAACTAATTAATTTTCTACGCATAAGACATAATTTCAATTTAAATTGAAATACAACAGTGTTACATACTTTCAACAAAGGGAGAGAACTGGATTAGTTTGAGAAATTTGAAATTAAAAAATGTAAAATTGAACATGGAGATAAATGCATTAATAATAGAATATATTTAGATATATGTACCTCCTATTTTAAATATGTACATAAATAATATTAAACGTCCATAAATAATATTAAATTAATTATTTTAATTGTTATTATTTTTATAATGATTTAATAATATTAAGGTATTATTATATTTTTGTTATCTTTTATCATTAATCACTAATTTATAATTAATTATTTACAGTATTTACCATTATAATATTTACATGTGTTATAATTCCCGCTTTTCGCACGTTCAAATTGAGCGCCAATAAAAAACCAGCTTCTCATTGGAACGTCGCGTAGGCGGGGGTATTACTTTTGCAATTCATGTCGAGAGACGTGTTGTAGAACTCCTTCAACCTGATGATGAGCTAAAAGGCTCGAAATCCGGATCGTTGCAAAACAACTTACTGTGCGTAGGAACTATCTTTTTTTTTGTTAAATCTTTTTTTTTCCACAAATCAGTTCTGCTGTGAGGTTTTTTGTATATACAGTGTAAATTTACAAACACATCAAACATGAAGCTCAGCGCGTGTTTAATTTTTTGTGGTTCAACAGGAGAACTTTTTTTACAAAATTATTTTTTAAGACCTGTTTTAGAAGAATTTCACTACTTATTCAGAAATCGTGAGACGCGGTCTGGTGTGATGTAGGTTTTAGAAAAACATTTGCTTTATCGTGCTACGTTTCGATCTCTATTGAGATCATCTTCAGGGCCTAGGATTTACAAACATTGATTACATGTAACAAATACATGTAGGATGTGGAAAAAAGTGAATTTATACAAATTAAAAATGTTAAATGTAAACAATGTTTGTAAATCCCAGGCCCTGAAGATGATCTCAATAAATATCGAAACGTTGGCACGATAAAGAAAATGTTTTTTCTGAAACCTATATCACACCAGACCGCATCTCACGATTTCTTAATAATTGTTGATTAACGGTCACTAACCTCCACACAAATTTCTCTAATATTTGTGCAGTATATTGTGATATAACGCTCTGTTTAATTACATTCAAATCTTTGTATGCAATTCACATTCAGTCTTATCTGACTCACTGAGTTCGTGGTAGAAGTGTTTCTTACGTTTACAGCTAAATGAGGCCGTAAATCTGTAGTAGTAGCTTAATAACTGGTAGGATCGGATGTCGAGGAATGCGCGATAAAACGTTAACGGATGACGACGTGGGGAACCCGGCCTCGGTAGGCGATAAATTGATCAAAATGAAGGTAGCCGGCTTTTATGGCCGATTTACCAAATGGAGCCATACCGGTACAAGGTATACAGAAAAGGAATAATAACGTATATGACTCACTCGTCGACGCAGTGGCCCGCTGTCGCGATCCAGTTTTCGTTGAGGATCGCGCCTCCGCATCGGTGGGTACTTGAAAAGCCGAAAAACGACGTCCTTCGTACAGACACCTGGAAAAACAGAAATATCAAAAACCAATTTCCTCAATACGTTTGTACACTTTTTTAATAATTTTTATAAAAAATTCAAAAATCCCTTAAATGTTTTAATGAAAATAACTTAAAAAATTATAACTTTTTTTAAATGTAATAATTTATCAGACACCTGATAAATTAAAAATGAAAGGGAGAAAACAATAATAGTCCGCCGAGGGCGTCGGTAGCCGCAACGGTTTAGGCGTTGACACGGCGCTCATCACTTTAAGGTGAAGGTCCCAGGTTCGAATCCAGCGGCCCTGCATTCGAACCCGATATCCTTACAAATGTTATTTTTTTCCAAAAACAACGGCACCCTGAGGGTTTATATGACCTCTGCTGCTGCGAACCCTCGTAAAAAAAAGTAATGGTCATAACAACGAAAAAAAATCAAAAATGCATTATAAAATAAGTACCATGGATGAAAAACTATGATAGTTTCATTCTTCGTGAGGAAAACGGTGATAGTCCAATACTAATGCAATCTTTTGGTTTTTGAGGTGCTACAAAGCACAAGTAGAACCATGTCTAATGGATAATTAACAATTAAATGCTCCATCAAAATTGAAAAAAAATATAATGGAAAAATATCGGCCTATTTTTTATGGGAGCTATAATAGCTGGAAATCTGGAACGCGCCAGTTCATTTAAAATTAGTGGAACACTCAACGTAATTGAATTGTATAAAAGTCTTGCCGTAGTCAGTTTTGCCGTACAGGATTTCAAAGAAAAAGAAACCTTTTCATAAAACACGTACATTTGAAAAGGATGAAGAAGAACAGGCCGGCCATAATTTAAAGTACCCAAGATAGAAATAGCTCAACACGTTTCGACTCAAATCGTTGAAACACTAAGTTTTAAATTATTTCTAAATATTTCAATGACCTCGAATCACTTGGATTTCAATTGATATACAATGCCTGAATAATTATTCTTATAAGAATATTTATTCGTCAGCAAACTCAAACTAAAATTATATTATTATACTAATAATTTAGGCAAATTAACATCTATTTTATGAAATGTTACATATATGAGATATTTTAGGAAATATCTGATTCTCTAAAATCCAAACAATGAAAACACAATGATATTTAACCGAGTTAAATATTAACGAAACGCTAATCTTTTTAGTGCCTTTTCGTAAAGCTGTTCAAATCACCTCTGTGCGGATTTAAAACCCAGAAGTGAGCAAATAATTGTAAATAATTTAATATCCCTTCGTGAACAATATGTACAAAAGAGATTTGGTGAAAAAAAATGGGATTCCATTAAAAAATAATGTTAAGCCGGAGAGGAGGAAAAAACGGAAAAAGCTGAAAGGGGTTTCTACCAACCTTTGAAGGAATACACGAAAATAATGTGAAGCCTTTCAAAGTGCCATAATTGAATTATTTCTACACGATCAATTTAAGAAAACAATTATATCATTTTGTTAGAAATAATGTTCATTCATTTGTATTCAACATAGTATTCTAATATTCAATATTTACTACTGTGACCAAGGGTCCATTTTAAACCAAGGTTAAATAATAATTTAAATACTTTTTTACCATTTAATATTTATTAATAAAATTTAACATTTATTAAAATATTACAATTAATTAAGGTTTTAAGTTGAGATAAAAAAGTCAGTGGCACGAGCGGGATTCGAACCCACGACCTTCGGCTTGATACGCCGCTGCTCTACCACTTGAGCTATCGTGAACTCGATCCGCTCGGACACTAACTTCCTATCTCAACCGCACCTTTTTTGAATTTTCCCTCCTTTTTGCCATTTTTCAAACGTCGTGTATTCGGATTGGATTCTCGGCGACAAATGAAATGGCCACGGAGAGCTTTAGTGAAGTATACCTCATTTAATTCATTGAATTCACTAATTTCGTGGTCCGCTTGACCAATTAATATATTACATTAATTAAGGTTTTTAGTCGAGATAAATTCGAGATTCGAATCCCGCTCGTGCCATTGACTTTTTTATCTCGACTAAAAACCTTAATTAATTGTAATATATTAATTGGTCAAGCGGACCACGAAATTAGTGAATTTATTAAAATTATTATTTTATTTTTGCATACATTTTTTAATATAATTAATTCCTTCGAAAGGAAGCTAAGATAATGTGTAACTATTGTACTTAATCTTTTGATGTAAGGTTTTGGTTCAGTTGAAAAAGTTAGTGCCATGAGCGGGATTCGAACCCACTACCTTCCTCCGCTAAATAGGCCGCTGCTCTACGACTTGAGCAATCGTGATTTCGGTCCACTCGAACACCAACTCCCTATCTCAACCTACATTCTTTCGAATTTAAAAAAAATTACAAAAAGAGGAAAACTTAAAAAGATCAAGTAATTGAAAGAAGTAATTTGGTCAATAGGTCACTAAATATAATGGATTTAATAATGAGCAGCCATAAAAATCTAGAGAGCTGATAAATATCTTAACCAACGGATGACCTTTTCTACACGTATGTCTAGCTTACTCTACCGCTGTTTATTTTTTGTTCTCTTGAACAATCCGTGTAGGTCAGGCGTCAGTGATAAGGGAGAATGTCAGAAGATTAGTGAGTCAATGAGTTAATCCTGACACTACTAAAATATGTAATAGAAAACTAAATCAGGCGTAAAGAACTAAGTCAGATATCAGAAATTGTAGTTAATGCGGTGGCAAACATAAATATCACGGACACTTTAATTAATTGCCATATCAATTGTTTTGGTTTAAATAAAATGCGTTATCGGTTTTTTTTATTTCATTTATTTGATATTTACAACTACATATATTGTATGTATATTCATATGTATTGAATTTGTCATTTGAGTCTCTTGTGGGAGAAGTTGCCCAGTGGCAACTTTCGTTTACACTGAAACCTCTTCAATCTTCACTCAATGAGAAGGTCTCGAAGCCACTTTCGCTTCAATCGTCTTGGAGGATTTTCGGGTAGTGTTGAAAGTGATAACTGTCGTGCTAATATATTGATGAGTGTGTTAAGTGATTGTGAAATTTTTATAGCTATGTGAAGTTATTAGTGACTGTTAATCGATATTTATTTAGAAATCGTGAGAAGCGGTCTGGTGTGATGTAGGTTTCAGAAAAACATTTTCTTTATCGTGCCAACGTTTCGATCTTTATTGAGATCATCTNGCCCTGAAGATGATCTCAATAAAGATCGAAACGTTGGCACGATAAAGAAAATGTTTTTCTGAAACCTACATCACACCAGACCGCATCTCACAATTTCTAAATAAATATTTTTATAGCTAGTTTTGATGAGGTCATGTACGAAAGGGCTATGTAGGTATATCAATAGTGTAATTTGAGACGTAAAAAGGACCATTTATAATTTGGTTGAGAATTTTAGAATGAATTGATTGGCAACGATGGGAATTTGAATCCAGGGTTAAGCCCAGCACTTCAACACCGTACGCCCAGAAAGGTCTTATCATTGCCTTATAAATTAAAAGTATGTTTTCAATGTCCAATCTTGATCGTGAGTCAAGTAGTCTTGGTGAGGTTTATTTCATCATAAGTTTACGGTGTCTATCACCGCTAGAATTTATCCATTTCTCCTTTTGTTTTATTCGGATCCATTCCGCGATGGAGGATTCTATATTTGTTTTTGTTATCCCAAGTATAGGTTTGGGTCCTATGTATGGTCTTGCGGATCCACTTCTGGCCAGTCTGTCTGTTTTCTCATTACCCAAAATTGCTCTATGCCCTGGCATCCAAGATATCATCAGGTTGTTGTGTTTCCCAAGGTTTTGGAGATTTTTGATGCATTCACCGACAAATTTTGATGTAAATGTTTTACATGGTAATGCTTACATAGCTGCTTGGCTATCTGATCTTATGAGGATTTTTTTTTGCCAGTGTAACCTCTTTTGAGATTTTCCAGGGCACAAGCATTGATGGCATGTATTTCTGGTTGAAATACCAAAGTGTACTTTCCAAATGAATTTGATTGCTCATGTTTTGGACTTGTAGAGAAAATGCCCGATCCGGTTCGTTCGTTTGTTTTGGAGCCATCTGTATACCATATCATTGCATCAGAAGCTCTCCTGTGTTCTTCCACTCATTTATAGCCCGTTGAGACTTTGTAGGATGTTGTAAAGAATGTTTCGGGACTATACAACCAATCCCCATTTCAAAGAATAGGTGTCTGATTTTGTTAAATATGGTTGTACGCCCAAATTATTCCGTTCCTAACCAATTTGATTGTTTCTGGAGCCAATATGAGCTTTTCCTAGCCTCTCCTTGTATAAATATTTCCAGTGAAGGTAGGTTTAGCAGAGTTTCTAACGCATTTGTAGGAGTTGATCTCATTGCTCATGTGATACATAGGTTTGGTGGTCTTTGTGTGCTGCCTAATGTTTGGGTAGCTATTTTTTGTTGAGGTTTGTTCCACCAAATTAATGATCCATAGGTTTTAAACTAGTAAGTAGCTTAAATAGTTTTAGAGAAAACCAAGGTTTTACTAGTAAGTTGACATACTGTATAATTAAATAAATATAATTTTCATGATATAAATAGTTGAAAAATTAAAAAGTTATAAAAAATGATAAACAAACATGTAAATTTGTTAATAGATAACTGGGTAGTTTACAATATGCTGATGTTTAATTAATATTTATGGGCAGATAAATTGGATGATAGCTGTATAAAAACACACATAGAGTGGTGAACTAATTACCAGAGATTGGTAGGCAAATATTGTTTATCAGATTTGTAAACCGGTAAAAAGTTAAAAGGTGGGTCGGTAGATAATTACAATTGAGATAGGTTTGAAAAAGGAGGTCGTTTTATTTCAAAACGACGAGGGTCAAACATTTCCAAAATGATGTTTCGGTTACACCATTAAACGATAATCAATCATTTCTTTGCTGAATTAAAAAATAATTAAAATTCCATTATCATGCAAAAATTACAAAGAAATATCCATGATCCAGACGGTTAGGATCGAAAGATTCCGATCATTC